ACACCCCCAGGACAAGGGGAACGATGACCCCCCACCACCCCCAAACCCCCTCGGGGGTCACAGCACCTGCTCCTGCAGCTCTGCCAGGCGCTGCGCCCGCTCCTCCTCGGAGTCGTCGGAGGAGCTGTCGCTGTCGGAGGAGCTGTCGCTGCTGCTGTCGCTGGACGAGGGCGGGGCCGCCTTGGCGGGCAGCGGCGGCACCGCCACCGCCGGCGACGACGCCGGAGCCGCCGGCTCCTCCGGCTCGTCCGGCATCTTGGCGAAGCGCATCTCGAACACGTCCTGGAGGGGGGGAAGGGGTGGGGATAAGGTAGGGGGATGTTTGGCACCCTCAGGGGATGTTGCTGGTGTAGAGAACCCCCCCCCCAGGGAGCCCCCCCTGGGGTGGACACCCCAGGGGGGGCTCCCTGGGGGGGGGGTTCTCTACGCCAGGGATCGACAGCAGCATCGACGCCCCAAGAAGTCCTCAAAGTGGGGATTGTGAGCGGATTCCAGGATGGTTTTGGGGAGAAGGGAAAGTTACAGAGACTCAGAAGACCCCCAGGAGTCCCCAGAGTGGGAATTCTGAGCGGATTCCAGGATGGTTTTGGGGAGAAGGAAAAGTCGCAGGTGAGAAAGGATGGGAGTGAGAACATCCTTGGAAATCCCCAGAGTGGGAATTCTGAGCGGATTCCAGGATGGTTTTGGGGAGAAGAAAAAGTTACAGGCACTCAGAACATCCTTGGAAGTCCCCAGAGTGGGAATTCTGAGTGGTTTTGGGGAGAAGGGAAAGTTGCAGGTGAGAAAAGATGGGACTCAGAACATCCTTGGAAGTCCCCAGAGTGGGAATTCTGAGTGGATTCCAGGATGGTTTTGGGAAGGAGGGGAAATTACAGGGACTCAGAACATCCTTGGAAGTCCCCAGAGTGGGAATTCTGAGTGGATTCCAGGATGGTTTTGGGGAGGAGGGAAAGTTACAGGTGAGAAAGGATGGGACTCAGAACACTCCCGGAAGCCCCCAGAGTGGGAATTGTGAGTGGCACCCCAAGAAGTCCTCAAAGTGGGAATTCTGAGTGGATTTGATGGGTTTTGACTCCACCTGAAGGGTTCTGATTCCATTTGAAAGGGTTTGACTCCACCTGAAGGGGTTTGATTCCATTTGAAGGGTTTTGGTTCCATTTGAAGGGGTTTGGCTCCACCTGAAGGGCTTGGGATCCACCTGAAGGGTTTTGGTTCCACCTGAAGGGTTTGATTCCATTTGAAGGGAATTGATTCCATTTGAAGGGGTTTGATTCCACCTGAAGGGTTTTGATTCCCTTTGAAGGGAATTGATTCCATTTGAAGGGTTTTGGTTCCACCTGAAGGGTTTTGGCTCCATCTGAAGGGTTTTGGTTCCACCTGAATGGATTTGACTCCACCTGAAGGGTTCTGGCTCCACCTGAAGGGTTTTGGCTCCACCTGAAGGGTTTTGGTTCCACCTGAAGGGTTTTGGTTCCATTTGAAGGGTTTTGGTTCCATTTGAAGGGTTTTGGTTCCATTTGAAGGGTTTTGGTTCCATTTGAAGGGTTTTGGTTCCACCTGGAGCGTTCTGGCTCCACCTGAAGGGTTCTGGCTCCACCTGGAGCGTTCTGGCTCCACCTGAAGGGTTCTGGCTCCACCTGAAGGGTTCTGAGCGTGGATTTGAGTTTCCCAGACGAGGATTTTTTGCCTCCAACCCGGGATCTTCCCCCCAGGAGCTGCAGAGGGGCTGATCCCCCTGCTCTGGGAGGGGTTCAGGGGGGCAGGATCTGCTTTCCAAGTTCCTGGGATCCTCCTGGAACCTTCTGGGGCTCCCAGAGATGACTCAGGTGCCGGTTGGAGGAACAACCCGCAGGAGTTCCCGGGTGTCACTCCCCGTGGGAACAAAGCCCAGGGAATTCCTCCCCCTTCCCAAAGCTCTTCCAACTTACAATTCCCAATTTTTTTGCTGCTTTTGCTGATTTTCTGCTGCTTCCCAAGCCCTGGGCACGTGGACAGAGCACGAGCTGGGGGCTGTTCCCCGAACCCCAACAGGGACGTCAACGATGACGTCGGTTCATCCGACTCATCCCAAATCCCCGGGGGCAAACCCAACGCTCCGGGGTATCCAACCCGACGGCTGAACCCGCTGCTCGATGTTTCCCCTCCTGGAAGCTCCAGCTCTCCCAGCTCAGGCTCATCCAGGTGGCTGAAGGACCCTCTGGGCTCTCCCCAAGGATTGATTTCCCACCTTCCTTCCTCGCCCTCCTCCCGCCTTCATTCATTCCCGGCTTTTCTTCCCTCGCTGGCGGCTTTTTGGGGCGCTCTGGGGGTCGTTTTGCCGCTCCCACCTGCTGCCAGGAGCGCTCTGGGGCTTCACCCACGGGCTGGGGCTCAAATTTTGGGGGAAGGAGGAGAAAATAGGCGAGGAAAAAAAAAAAAAGGAGACGTTTCCGAGCCCCTCCGTGGGACGACGGAGGCTCACACGGATTCACCCCGGAATTTCTGCCCCTGGTCAGTGTTTAACACCCCAATTCCTGCTTCCCATGGCCCAGGAGGTCCTCGCTCCCCGATTATCAGCGGGTGGCAAAGCTGCTCCAACGCAGAAACTCCACTTTTTGGATTCTCTGGGGGGCAGAAATTCAACCTTCCGGGTCGATTTTACCCCAATTTTGTCTCCCGTCGATTGGGAAGTGCCTGAAACGGCCTCGGTGTCTGAAAAATCCCAGGCAGGGAATGATGGGAGAGAAAAATCCACTGAGCAATTAACGAGCTCGTTAATTTTTTATCAAGGGTTCTTATCGTGGACGGCACCAGAACCACAACCAAGAACTTCTCCCACGAGCCGGAATTACCCCCGGAAAGCCAAACCCCCTCCGTTTCTGATGGTGCAAAGGGGCCCAAAAAAGCAGGAACGGGAGTTATTCCAGAGCTTTTCCAGCGGGACTGGAGTCCTCTCGTTCCCAAACCTCTGCAGAGCTGCCCCAAATCCTCTCCTGGGAGATCTTCCCGCTGCAATCGGATTTCCAGGCCCCAGGAAAAGCCGAGGAGGAGGTTCCAGCCCTGGACGTCGAGGTTGGGGTGGGGTCCAGATGCTGTTTCGGCTGCTCTGAGGTTCAACCCCCCCTTTTCTGGGGGGCTCTGACACTCAAATCCCACCTTTTCTGCCATCCTGATGCCACAACTGACCTTCCTGAGTGGCTGAGCTTTTCCAGGGCCGTGATCCCAAGCCTGGAATCCCGACTCCAAGCAGCCCTGGCTTTGGGGTGTCACCTGGAGAAGCCACTCATGAGGATTTTTCGGATCAAACGAGGTGGGAGGGAAGGAAAAAATGAGAGGTTTCCATGAGAATATCCAGGCTGGGACAGGAAATGCCGGGATTTCCTTCTGCTGGGGGTTGGAAATGCTCTGGGACGTCCTTCCACGAGGCTGTGACGTCCTGTGTGGGCCCCAAACCAGCTGGGGAGAGCCCGAGGGTGAAAATTGCCGGTTTTTTGGTCATAAAACCCACCAAAAAAAAAAAAAAAATCCACTTCTAAGGTGCCGAATTCTCCCAAATTCCTCCCCAAAACTCCCGTTTCCTCAGCGCCTCCTCGGCTCAAGTTTCATAAAAACTTGAGTTTTTATAAAAACACGAGTTCAAACCCAGCATTTCCTGAACTGTGTGGAGGGATCGGCGCAGCTGCAGCCCCTTCCCGAGCTGACACTTCCCTGGATTCAGGGGAAGGGCCGGGTCAGGTCGAGGTTTTCACTCCACATTTCCAGGTGGAGAAGCACCACCCATTCCTGGCTTGTTTTTTGGGGGGGGCAGTTTCTTGAGCCAAACTTCCATCAATCAAACTTAATTTCTCGGAGTCCTTCCCTTGATTTCATGTTTTCCCCTCAGTTTAGGAGTTTTCCTCCTGATTTAACAGCTTCTCCCATAATTTACAGGAGTTTTCTTCTCCTTCCGTGCCCTTTTCCTCCTCCTTCCACGCCGCTGGGATTGGGCTTTTCCCACATCCCAAAAACCTCTTCCCACGTGCGGATCCGGCTCCTGTGTCCTCTCCAATCCCATCCCGAGCATCCTCCTGGCATCTCGAATGTGAATCCTTGGGGATTTGGCGGGGGGGGTGGTTTGGGAGCAGTTGGGATCGAGTGTGATGTGATAAAATTATTTAAAAAAAAAAAACTCGACGAAAAAACCCGGAGAAATGGGGATCACAGGGAATGGAAGCACCTGGAATCTGGGGCGTTTTTAAGGAGCCACGTGGGAATGCTGAGGTTGAAAATCCAACGTTTGGAGTCGAACTCTGTGACCCCTGGCAGTGGTTCCGTGGTGGGAAATCCCTGGAGCTCAACCAACCCTCTCCCCCCGATCCACGCCCCGCAGAGCCCGTTCCTGCTGCTCCAACTGTGCAGGGGGGCTCAGAATTCCCGGGAAATGCAGGGATCCAGGGGGTTTTCCGGAGCGCTGGAGCTCGTGGGTGAGGCCAAACCCCCCGGTTGGGGTCGTGGGGATCCGTCAGGAGCCGATGAATTCCCTGCAGACCCTTCGGGAACGAGCGGAGGGCGGAAAACTCGCCCGGGACAGGGACCTAAAGCAGCAGGAGCCGTCACCTGTTTGATCTTTATTCCTTTTGGGGGTAAAAAAGGGACGTTTTGGAGCCGTGTTTCACCTTCCTGCTCCTCCACCAGCAACAAGGGACAGGAAAAAGATGATCCCGAACAAAACTGAGCTGGGAGAGGGAACTGGGCAGGTCCTGCAGCACAGAAAGCGTCACCTGGGGCTGTTCCCCACCACAGGGGCGGCTTTGGGGGGTCAGTTTGGGGCTCGAGGGGCCCTGACAGGGGGTGAAGCAGCAGAGAAGGACATCGAGCAGGGGGGTGGGAACTCACCTGCAGCTTCCTGGCCATGGCCACGACCTCGTGGTCAGCGGGGTTGTACTTGTAGCAGTTGGAGAACATCAACCGCACGTCGGCCGCGAATTCCTGAGCGTCCCGGTACTCCCGGCCCTCCAGCTTGGACTAGAGAGACAGAGAGAGAGAGCAGAGGGCAGAGGGCAGGGAAAGCAACACAACTCTCAGTGCAAGGGGGTAAAAATGCAGCTCAGAGATCCAGGGGGGAACGGGGAGCCCACGGAACACGGGGGGCTCTAGAGGGACAAGGAATGTCGGTCGGGAAACCCGCCAGGGTTTCATCAGCAACAACAACAGCTCATTGTGATGGGAAGAGAAGGACTTGCTTTGGTCAAAAACAATCTGGTTGTGGCCAAAAGAATTCTGGGTTTTGGTCAAAAGAAAGAATTCTGCGTTTTGGTCAGAAGAATTCTGGGTTTTGGTCAAAAAAAGTGACTCATTTTGGTCAAAAGACAGACCAGTTCAGGTCAAACGGAACTGCTTATTTTGGTCAGAAGAACCACCAATTCTGGTCAAAAGGACAACTAACAGGGGTCAAAAAACCCACAAGGTTTCATCAACAGGAACAGCTCATTTGGATGGGAAAAGATCTGCCTGCTTTGGTGAAAAACTATCTGGTTGTGGTCAAAAGAATTCAGTGTTCTGGTCAAAAAGAGTGACTCGTTTTGGTCAAAAGAGAGGTTTGTTTTGGTCAGAAAGACAGACCAGTTCAGGTCAAACAGAACTGCTGATTTTGGTCAGAAGAACCACCAAATTTGGTCAAAAGAACCAACAGTTTTGGTCAAAACCCCACAAAGTTTCATCAAAAAAGAACTACTCATTTTGATGGAAAAAGAAGGACTTGCTTTGGTCAAAAACAATCTGGTTTTGGTCAAAAGAATTCTGTGTTTTGGTCAAAAAGACAAGACTTGTTTAGGTCAAACAGAACTGCTGATTCTGGTCAAAAGAACTACCAATTCTGGTCAAAAGAACCACCAATTCTGGTCAAAAGAACCACCAATTTTGGTCAAAAGAACCACCAATTTTGGTCAAAAAGAAAAGCTACTTTTGATCAAAAGCAGGATGTGTTTTGATCAAAAGAGCAGCTGGTTCTGGTTCTTCCCCCCGAGCTCAGGAGAAGATCAAGCGTTGAGGGAGACCAGCCCTTATTCTGGAAGGGATTAAAAACAGGGTTGGTTTTTTAATCCCAATTCCCAGGATTTCTGCTCGGGGGGGGGGGGGAGGGGCTAAAAACCGGACAGATTTCCACAACAACAGAGATTTTCCATAAAAACCACACCTCAGCGTCGCCAAGAGGGACCGCTGGGAGCGCCTGCCCTTCCCAAACATCGGGTAAACCACAAGGAGAAAAGAGACACCAAACACACCCAACCCCTTCATTTTCCTAAAAAAACCCCAATTCCCTACTTTGATTGTGCTCAGATCCATGGGGTGCTTGATGATGTCGCAGTAGTCGTGCAGCCCCAGGGCCTCCACGTCCACGGGCTTGTAGAAGGGCCAGGCGTAGGCCGCGTGCTTCTTGGCGAACATCTCCTTGATGATGCCGCCGCAGTACTTGAGCTGCTCCGACACTTTGCTGCCCTTGTCCC